TGGTGAAAGTGCATTTGCTGCTTTGGTTTGCTGTCGAGCTCTTTTAAAATATACATATATATATATCTAGTATATATATACATATATTCTTTGTGGCAGAAGCTGTCGAGAATGTTGGAAAGCATGAGGGACAACCAATGTGGCATTGTTTTATTTGACAGCTTGTGAGACCGCTAAAAAAAGGAGCAAAGCCCCCAGAAGACACACATCTTCAGAGAAATGGGGGTTCCCATTAAAAATATTATTGGTTTGTCTATTTTTAAACAAAAGTTGGAGCAGTAAAAGCATTTATTTTTAGTTCCCTTTAGCACATGGCAATTGTCAAGGATTCCTGCAGATGTTTTGGAAGTGTCTTAGACACAAAAGTCGAATTTTAAATTGATTTTTCACTAATTAAAAAAGGAAAGTTCATAATTTAAACTATTACATTCTCTGAAAGTTACTAATATTATTATAAATATAAAGACAAAGTAATTATGCATAAATTTCTGTATTATTCAGCATATATTATAAATTGTAAATATTAACATGTCCTTATATACAAAATGCTTTTAGCTGGTTTAACAGCTTATTGATAATGAAATTTACTTTAAGGGTATACATTTTTATTCAATATTTTAATTTGGCTTAAAGATTAATTCTTTTATCCATGCCCACATGGTTAATTTTTACTATTTATCCCCTTATTTTATTATTACAGCTTGAAAAGCCAATTCAAATTTAAATTTCCGCGTGCTCATTAATTCTCTCGCGCTTAAATTTTACAGTATATAATAATGATTATTTTTTACTCAATTCAAAATGACTGAAAAACTTAAAGCGGTCACAAATTAGCCGCAACTGTGAAAGCCTCACGAGCCATTGACCCCAATCATTTCCTACACTTGTTCACTTCGCCGCCTTGCAGGATGACTGCTTACCCCGGCTCGACCTCAGAGAAAATGTCGTCCCCTCTTTTGAAAAATACCAAAAGTTGCTACACAAAAAAAGCCAAGCAAAACTGAACGAGAACTTCTGTGGAAACATTTCCCATTCAACTTCATTCGTTTGAAACTGAACAATCCCAAGGCTTTTTACAGCCACTTGTTGTGGTTGTTGTGGGTGGGGGAAGGGGGAGGTGGAAATGGAAATGGGCTGATTTTGGGGGCAGTGGTTTCAGCCAGGAACACATGTAGGCCACGCCCACAAATGCTGAACACCAGCCACGCTTTTTTTAGAGTAAAAAACGCCATGTCAAGCAAGCAAACAAAAAATTATTCAAATTTGAATTAATTTTTAACAAAAACTAAAGATTTCAAACACGAAAAATTTGCAGTTACTACCATAAAGGCCTACCCCTCAGAAATAAGGATTTTGGTAGAAAATCAACCAGAAATAACAACAACCAAAAAGCAGTTAAAAAGTTTTTAAGTGCACAATTTATAGCTACCGATTTGTTGTCTGGTCCTGGACCCAATCCCCGGTACCTCTTCGAGCGTAAAGCCTGAACAAAATCAATATGGCCTGGAAAAGCGCATAATGAGAGTGCACTCGTATGTGTGTGTGTGTGCGACTGCATTTTAGAAAATATGAAAAGTCAAGGAAAGTTTATGGCAAATGAGTAATGAGTGGCAGACTCTTTGCCCCCCTCTCGAAATATTAACCCGCTGCTCACTTTAGGTCGCAAATTCGAAAATGAAAGGAAAACTACCAGCCTCGAGTTGGGCACAAAAGTAAAGGAAAATCTATAAACGGAAAGCCAAAGCTACTTCAAACAATATACATAGGTTGGAAAAACTTCCATTTATTGGAAAATTAAATACTAGTTTGGCAAACCAATAAAGTTTTACTTAAATATGGAATTTTTGTAAAGCCTTGAACTTGTGACAGTAATATTTTATTTTTTATATTTTTAAGCTTAAAGGATGATATACATTTTTTGTGAGAACATTTTCGCTCCACAGCTCGATACAAAAAAATTATATTACGAAATAATTTTTGTGCTAAAAACTGCTCGCAGGCACTTTAACATGCAGCAAGCTGCAATTGCGGGTTGGCTCTCTTTTTTTTTTTAATTAGTTGTTGTAGATTAAAGTTTGACAAGTACTTGGAAAACTTTTTTCCGCTTGACATTTAAATACACACATGTGTGTGTGTGTGTGTGTGGGCTGCCCTGGCTGTGTGTGTGCGCTTCGGTCGTGTGAATTAATTAATTAAATATGAGATGAGCTTGGCTTAATTGGAAGGCTGGGGGAACGAATTCAGTATTTACTCTGATACGTTAAAATCAGTTAATGTTAAGAGTCAAACGGGCAAAAGTCCACGGATTTATATCGGCGCTAACTTAACTTAATTAATTTAAATATGATTGACGACGTAGCACACACAGATTTCACACACATCGAAAAATAAGATGAACGTCAGTGTTTTCAGAACCCAAAAGAGTTTTATTGTTTATTTAAACTTAATGGGCAAATGATTGATCGAATGATCTGTGTATGTATTTTATTTGATTAAATGGAAAGTAATTAAGCTTGGGTTTCCTTTAAATTCATCTGGAAATGAATACTATAAATAAATATTAAAGCAAATACTATATTATTCATATATGAAAGTTTACGTATTTCATAAGCTGGCACTTTATATATTACAAAACCCTAACTGAAGCTCTTAAAACCCTCCTCCTTAATCACATTGTCACTGCCTAAATTGACATTGTTTCAAACGTGATCTCCCTCCCCATCCAGCAGACGTCTATAAATTATTATTACATTATGCAGAATAAATCAGATGGCAAACCAGCAACGGCATCAAGAAGTGACTTTGATGCCTTGGCCCGAGGTGGAATTTTTATGCGACTAAGCCCACACACACAGGATAAAAAATACTTGGAGGAGACGACCTGGGTTCAAGGAATCCAAAGCGCTGGGAGGTCGAGAGTTAAAAATTGTTGATTACATTTGAATCCCCACTCATAACTGTCAAAAAGTTGCTGGGCTACAGTCTGGTCCTGCTACTGGCATGCCATCGGCACTACACGGCAACGTGGCGTATGTGTAATGTGTGCAGTGTGTGATGCCACCGATGATGCTCCTGCTACCGCTGCACAGGGTCCACGAATGAACTGGCTGTCATTATGTCATGAACATATGAGAATGCGAGATGTTTATACTTAAAAAGCGCTCATAATAAGGCTGCCTGTCAGTTCCTGGCTGAAGGCCAGCGATGGTAGACTCTGCGAGCCGATGCGATGCGATGCGATGCGATGCGGTGGAGCTGCCACCTGTCGGAGAGTTGGAAGCTTTTGTTTTATGCCACCACATCACACCACATATTACATAATATTATCTGCTTAAATTTAAATACATTGCAGTGCTGATAATATGGACAAATTGTATGGCAATCTTGAGGTATGTGCCTTCCAAAAGATTTCCACAGATATAATTTAACCAAATTTTAATAATTCCCTGTTACATTCATTGTACTATCCTTTCATATGAATATATATGTACATACATATATCTTCTTTATATTCTGTGGGTTGGTTTACCGAACCTGTGGTTTTACTCTGCAAAAGCGCCTAGTCTGCAGCGGTTGTCAATATTGTGCAGAATGTTGTAATTAAAATTGTTATCTTTTGAAATTGAAGCGCCCAGATCTATGTGTGTGTGTGTTGGTGTAACGGATATCCATGCAGGATGTCAACGATTTGCACTATGCTACGCGGCTGGCATACTAGTAATTTTACACCTGTCTCGGTGACGAGGATGCTTGATGCTGCCCGGCATCGTTGCCAACTAACCCTTCCTGATCTGTCCACATCCTCTCGGTTCCCTTACTCATGCTCTGATTGGGATTAAACGTTGAAAATCATTTTAGCTACAAAAACAACTAGTTTCAGTGTATGGCGTATGGCACACGGTGCTTGGGTCAATTACCGGGCTAGAATTTAAGCAATTTCTGGAATTTGCCAAAGGTTGGGTGTACTCTGGTTGAGTTAAAGAGGTCCTTAAGAGTGTATGTAGTCCAAGGAATACAAGGATCTGTCAGTTTGAGAGCAAAGATCTCATGTGGAATAGAGTTTAAGCCACAAAACTATCAACAATACATCTGTTAAATTGGAATTTAGAAAGAATACAACTCTTTTTAACTCATAGTCTTTTAAATTCCTCCCCAAACAATTGTTAAATTGTAATTACTTTGTCAAAATCCTGAAGGATACAAAAGCACTTCCACTACATCATGTTAACTTTGTCACATTGAGTGTCAATCTCTGCTAATATCTACTTCTTGCAGTCGTTCCAGGACCTTGGCATGAGAACAGAAGATGGTTTTCCCTAACGTGCTCATTTATTAAGTGCTAATAGACGAATGTACATGGCTCCAGTTTGGGCTAAACTAGCCACCCCAAGGCGAAAGCCCGAAAATATGCCAAGAATTCGGCACTGCAGCCACTAAGTGAGAGTTGACAAAACTTCCTGCCCAGAGTGTGGACTTGGACGCCGAAACAATTTCATAAGAAATTCGTGCAAGTCCGTTGACGTCGCAACATATTACTCACCATATCCGTCGTGGGCCTTATCCTTGTTAGCCAAGGTTGGGCCTTGGCATATGTAAAACTTTTAACAAACATGACAACACACACACACATAGCTAAGTAATATCGCATGCCATAAATTACACTTAAGTATTTAACAGCTTTACGCCCCCAAAAACCAGAGCCAGCCAAGCAATAAAATAACGATGAAGGCCGATAGCCAAAAAAGGGGGCGGCAACCTAGACGGCTATATTCATGTATTCTCGCAACATATAGACTTGAAATTCATTTTAATCAAGGCTTCGGGCTAGTCTCTGCAATCGCAGAGATGTTAAATCTCAGACCGATAAAGAGTTTAGCTTGCCAGAAGGAATTTAATTAAGTTTAATTCGTGATACATGTGACATTGCTCTGGCAAACTATGAAGAACTTGTGTGCCAATCCTGCATATATTTACTAATACAAGCTATTAAGCCATTCCAGTTTAGAATTGTGTACTCGTAATATCGTTTTTATTTATTCAATTTACAGGGTTTTGGCGGTGTCCAAGAGCCAGGCTCGGAGAGAGGCAACATCAGCGTAGACGCCGGGGTACCCAGTCCAGGCACAACCGTTGCCCCAGGAGACGACACCGACAAGTTCCCCATTGGCGACCAATGGACCACCGGAGTCACCCTGGCAGGCGTCCTTCTTCTCGCCGGTGGCACAGACCATAGTGTCCTGGATTTGATCGCCATAGTTGAAGGCTGAGGAACCGCAATCCTTTGCAAGAAGCAGATCCACTACAACGCTCAGGAGGGTATCGGGGGAGCTGCAGAACAGGAAACAGGTGGTGCCCCAGCCGGAGACGACAGCCGGAGTGCCCGAAGGAGGGGTGACACTGGCCAGAGGAATGGCCCGGATCTTGGAGGTCTGGCGGACGGGAGTGCTCAGCTTGATGATGGCCACATCGTTGATCATCAGTTTGCTGTTGTAGCCCTCGTGGAACTTGAAGGCCCGCACGCTGACAACCTCGCCACCGCTGCTCCTAGATTTGGATCCCAGGCGCACCTGCAGTTCGTCGGCTCCATAGGACTGCATGCAATGGGCAGCGGTTACCACGGTGTCGTCATCGACCAAGCTACCGCCACAGAAGTGGGAGCCCTTGGTGGTCTGGATGGAGACCTGGTAGGGATGGGTCTCGATCTCGGCAGCGTCGCCGTTGACAATGCGCCCGAAGGGGAAGTCCATGTCCGGATGGGCCTGGGAGGCACAGGCACAGAAGGCGACCAGCGCCACCACACTCAAAATAACACGATTCATTGTCACAGCTCAATGATCACTGAACTCCACTCCGCTCCATGCCCATGTTTTATAGGCAGGGACCTTATCGTCCGTGCTCCTTCTGAGTTGTAAATCAGGGTGGCTCTATCAAAAGCCAAGTTTCCATGACGCTCTATAGATGTCTAATGATTAGACCATGCTATCGGCCATAAACGCGTGCCAATCCAATACATTATCGCATGATAGTAAATCTATCTGACAAGAAACTGAAGACAATCGCACGAAAAGATTGGATTTTATACGTTTTTAGATGGAAAACAAACAGCAAAGTTCATTGATATTGATCTCTGCTATTTTTGGGGCTGCTCCAAATTAATGGGAATACCATAATAACTTTGTTTGCCATCCCAAATCAATTTCCTTTTCACATATACAAAACCATAAATAATGAAAGGCTAGTCTATGTGTGTTCAATTCAATTAGCAAATGCATCTTTAATGTAGATTTTAAGGCTGACCAATAAACTCTCTGGCAACTAATATTCGCCAGCAGGTTCATAATTCAATTCAGACAAATAACCCGTCTTAACCACTATAAACCATAACCTTGTGTTATTCAGTTATCTTGACTCGATGGGGAAACCTCAGAACGCATTCGCATGCCGGAGACAGCTGCAATCTGTTCCACCGACACAGGCAGTCACAAAGAACCGCGAACAGAATAAAGCTTTATCTTATCATGGTGGCTCTGAAGCCAGTCCGTAACTAACTTACAAAGAACGGACACGGATGGGTGGAGCAGCTCCAGGGCCACGAACAAGACAAACTGTACGGTATCCGAGTTGACCAGCCACGATGGAGTGAAGCAAAAAGTTAACATGACCATGAATTTGAGCTGCCAAAGTTCATTTTTAATTTAGCGTCCACACAAGCGAACCCGTGTTGGCCAAAGGGAAACGCATTCCGAGGAGAACAATCTATTAAACCCGCACACAGCACCCCAGCACCCAAACGAGTGAGTTTCGTGTTCTTCTTGTTCCGCAAAAGTTGTTGATATCTATTACCGAAGATTTGAAGCAGTTCGCCGGCATCCCAACTCAACTTAGCCGGCTTTTCGAAGGGGACAGGATGTCTTGTGGCAGGGACTTAAAGACTGTTGCCAGTTGAATGGAACTGACTGCAAGACTGGGACCACCCCCAGCTCCCATTCCCCACCACGTCCACATCCCCTCTCACACATGACATGACAGTTGGTTATGCCGGGGCCACAAGGCACGTAGCGCATTGCAGTTAAGATTTGGATTTCCTTCGCCGGGCGTATCAAAGGAAACAACGCAAAAAATCTAGAAAATACTACAAAACACTTATCTGGGTGACAAATAGAAAACGAACCGAACGAAAAGCCAGCGGAGGGAGGGGCAACAACATTGAAAGAAAAATGTCTCTGAGTAGATTAAAAAGAAAATAAAAAAATAGCAAAAAAGATGAAGAAGGGGATATAAACGAAACGAAGAGCGACTGGAAAATAGAGCTGCACAAAGCAGGGAAATGGCTCGCGTTGTCGTTATAATAAAGGCATGACAACACTCCATCGAACAGTGTTACAAAATCCAGGGATAAATGTAACTCAAATTGGAACAAGTTTAAATAAATATTTAAAAAATAAGAAGTAAATCAGCCTAATAAATTAGTCAAAAATGTAAGCCTTATTTAGTTAATAAAACGAATATTAAAGCTGACAAAAAAACAATATTTTCTATACAATACATAAGTTAGCTGTTCTGAATAGGAAAAACTTCCTGTGCAAACACGGACTGAAAAAAACTGAGATACTTACTATGAATATAATAGTATAATAAATAGTATAATAATAAGATGCATAACACCCTTAAATTTAATATGCCATATGTAAGCCAGTTAGAGAATTTTAAGACGGCTCGAAAAATGTAATTGCAATAAATCGTTTGACATTATGCACCTTGTAATTATAAGACTCTTGGTTAGACATTTCCTTAATTGAAATTGAGAGCTAAGCAATTGAAAAGTTTAACTTTAATAGTTCTTTAACAACTTTGATATATAACATTGCCCACTGTTTGTGGCGATACGGTCGCTGGGCATGGTCATGGTTGCTCATATGTGTGTCGCTCTTGTCTCAACTCCCGACCGCCTAGACAACCTCCGTGTGTTGTGCACTTTCTTCGTCTGCTGTTGCCATTTCTGTTTCGTATTTATTTTTTCTATCAACGTACGAGTTCCCTGTTGTTGTTAATATTTGCAAGACGCCTTTATCTTAACAAGATCGGGCCAAGGACTCGTGGGTGGATGCGTCTCTGCCGTTTCCTGTGTTATTTAAAATCATTTTGCAAGTTTTGAGCTGTCTGCGAGTTTGTCTTTCTATTCCCATCCCCCATCCCCCATCCCGTCATTGTTAGTCCATTCTTTCCGCACACAGAACTGGTGTACACGGATTTGTTTCGTTATCGTTTCTTAGAGTGTCAGAAAGGACAAGTACAGGACTCAGACCGATGTCAATTGCCGAGGAGGAATGGAGTGGAGTTGGGGGAAAGGCAAAGGCAGTGCATACAAAGCCAGGGGCTCAGGCTCTGCGAGTGCCAAGTCCATCAACTTAGCAGGAAGATTTCCCCCTTTGATCCACTTCGATCCAGGTTGATTCGATTATTACTTTGGCTTGGTGCGGATGTGTGAGCTTCAGTTGTTTAGTTCCTACTGTACGTAGGAGCTCCACAACTAATCCCATTACACATTTGGCATCCTAAAATTAACCCTAGGTACTCTCCTTATTTTATGCCTTTCCAACTTAGAGAGCATTTTTCATTTGGCCAATTTGAGCTGAATTAACTTTACCTTTTCCCGTCATGGCAGAATAATTTTCTGACCCACTCATAAACCACTTTCAACTCCCGGACGGACACTCTAATAAAACATAAAAAGAGACGAAAATATGATGTGTCCCAAGTCCATAAACCATTTGAGAAAAATCAACAAAAAGAGCGTCCCGCCATGGGGATGCAGACGCATTTTCACCGGCTTGGTCTTCATAAAAACTCTCTCCTGGCAGGACTCCCCCACTCCTGGCAGGCACCAGAACGCACCCACCATATGAGCCATAAAAAGAGTAACAACAAATACGGCATTTGTTATTTAATAACAACATAACGATATCTAATTCCAAAGGTCGGGGAGAGTAGGCTGATCATATTTAATAAATTTTGTTAGATAGGTTTGAGGGCGCGAGCAGGGAGGCAAAAGCGGAGGTCATAACCAGGCACTGCATATTTCTCCCGTGGGGTCCCATTGTGGCCCATTGTTGGCATGGCTGCCAGTTGGAGGCTTCTGCTCCTTCTCCTTCTCCGGCTCCGGCTGCGGCTCCACCCAGCGTCGGCCTATTAACCACATTTTAGGCATAATTGAATTTCGTGCATAAATTTCGGTTTATGGGTCGTCGCAGGGAGACCACGACCCGGCCAGATTATTACATTATTTACTGGGTGTGTGTGCCTGTGTGTGTGTTTCTGTGCACAACAGGGATAGGGCATTTTGGGGCAGCTCGAAAGCAAGCGAGAGGGAGACAGGCTGCGACAGTGGGGAGCAGCAGGCCAGGTGGTGCCACCAGACGACAGGGGCATCAATTTTATATGACGCTCAGCTCGGGCCGAATCTCTCGTTGTTTCATGCTTTTTTTTTGCCCTTTGAAATGGTTCACTGCCTCCCGCTGCTGCTGCTGCTGAAAGCCCCAAAATATTTATTAAATTTGGTTTTTACGATATAAACACAATCATACCACCAAACACAAGCGACTGCTGAAACAAAGCGAGTATAAAGGCCAAGCAATTGGTTGCAGTAACATCTCTAATATGTTTTATGTATAGAGTTGGAGCAAGGTAAGAGTGTGTTGGGGGTCCTAGAGAGAGGCGAAGTAGTTCTACAGAATAATAGTATAATAACAAAAGTAAATCATTGTTTTGTTTATGAGATCACAGACATTGTAAGACATTTAAAACGTTTTTCTTCATAATTCTGCTTACTTCTTTTACGATCTATAACCTCATATACAAACCAATAAATTCTAATAAATTATGTTTAGGTATTATCTACCTCTGCTTTAAACTACAATCAACTGTTATAAAAGTATTCTTATCACAACCCTTTGGAAATATTCTAGGAAGCCACAATTATCTACACAACTTGACATTTGAAATTATTTACCCCCTAACTATATTCTAGAAAGCATCCCCAGGACTTTGAGTACTCCAATCCCCAACAATTTTCCAATTGAGATCAACCGAATCAAAAGCGGCGAAACTTCGGTGGCGGAACACACAAATCTTTGGCTCCCCAAAGCTAGCAAAACCAAAGTTTCCAAACAAACAATTGCCGCTCCATTTAACAGACTTTCCCTGCCACACACACATACAGCATACATATGGCCCAGTCATATGTTAAGCCCCAAAAACGTGGCAAAAAAAAAGGAAAATAGAAAGAGGGAACAGAAATTTCAAGTATGTACAGCGAAAGTTCATTGCCGCTTTTTAGGCGCCAACAGAAGCTTACTTTCCCAGACCGGAGTGGCCAAAAAAATAAAGGCCTGACGCAAAAAAGCAGCCAAGAACAGAGGCAACACATCAACTTTTTATTAGCTGCAAAATAAACACACTGCGGCAGGAGGGGGAGGGGGGGGGGGGGGAGGAGAAGGGTGTTTTGGGGGGCAGAAGGTGCAGAACTGGGCTAAGACGCAAACAAGAAAACAAACAGCCGACAACACAAAACGCAAACAGCGGCGGCAAGAGTTGAGTAACAAATATTTACAACGCGGTACAGACAGACTGCCCCAATGCCTTCTCTTTCCTTGCCTTTTCTCTTTCTTTCCCTTTTTTTAAGGATTTCATTTTATTTTTTTTTTGTTGGTTAAGACACTGCCAAGGACCAAGTCAATGTCGAGGCTCGCCGCGGTCCTTCGCGACTTAATAAATCTTATTAAAGTGCGCACAGCCTCTAAAGTATGCTACGTTTTTATTTTTTGCGCGCGACCCCACCCTCTCGACATAGAATGCCTACTGAAAACGACGCGGGGGTCCTGTCTACCTTGTTTTCGCTTTACATAAATTTATTTCTCACTCCGCGAGTATTTGGCAAGAGAGAGAGACTGGAAGCGGGCCGACTTTAATGAACATCAATTTGGGCCTGATTGTTGGACCAATAAAGGCGGGCTGGAGAGAAGACAACGACCAAGTTGTGAACAGATTATGCATAAAATTGTACTACACAATATGACTGCGATGAGGAATCGCTGGTAATTCTGGAAGTCAATTTCATTATTTATGGTCATTTATGGTAGAAAACTGTCTGTGGCTTACAATATTATATAAATAGATATCAAACTGTATGGAAATATACAAATATCTTATCGAATAACTATGGAAAAACGGTGGACTTAAGTCTTGGGAAGTGGTAAAGTCCAAGGGATTTCATTTATATTATCTTTGCGCTACAGGAAATATTGGAAAGGAAATGATATATCACATTTCAGCCAAGATAGTCTGAGAGACCTAGTAGCATAAACTCTTTAAAAGCCATTTTATATACTCATCATTCCTCTCCATTACGATTGCAAACATCTTTGGCCAATGGACATTATTCTGGTCAACATTTGGTTCCATTCACGCGGCACCTTGGGGAATGGCATCGGCAGCTGGCGCCCATAAATTTGCGGTCTTAATTCAGTTTAGTGGCCTGCCCTCGATTTTGTTTTGTTTTTTTGTTTTTTCTTCTTACTCTCGGCTAATCGCGCTAAATTAGATATAAGCCATGGCCAAAAACGTGGGGATGTATATAAGTGTGCTGCTCGGCATCCAAACTGGCAAAGAAGTCTGCGGTGATTGCTTTTTTGCTCTTTGGCATATGGAACAAATTATCGAACTAGTTTGTTTTTGTGTGTGGCCAATTTTTATTAGCTGTTTAGCGCATTATTTGGTTAGGAAAATTGTTTTTCCCATTTGTTCTAGCTGTCCCACCCGCCGAGCGCTGACCAAAAACAAGTTAATTGTCTGGCAGTAAATTAGGTTTGCCCTTGCAGACAGCTGTGAAAAGTCTACGTAATTGACAATCGTCTTTGCCTTTGCCCGATTAAAAGCGGAATTCCCAAGGCCCTGTTTATCTTATCGATTTAACAGAAATGGTCGACTAAGTGCTTTCGTTATTTAGGAATTCCCCAAAACGAATTGGTCATATTTTTTGTGTGCCTGATTAGGAGTTAAAGATCGTGGTTTAAGCAATAATCTTGGTTTAGTTTAGTTTAATTTTTGGATACATTTTCCATTTCTCTACAACATATAAATTGATTTCTTTTGGTTAATTATCCAAAAGAACGCTGCAAACGACGTCATCATCATGACTTGTATTACCTTTCGGGCAAACCATAATAATTGTGATAAGCATTGGCCGAGTGCAATCAATCATAGGGTATAGATGACGACCAGTCAGATTGATTGCCCCATTGTCGAAGGTGGGCCAGTGGGAATGGGGAGCAGGAATCGCTATTGACAGATACGGGGATATCATCTCGGCTCGAACTGTTGATTCAGTGCATGCCACATACGAATGCCTGCTTTTCAGCAAAATAAGTTTTCACACGTCAGGCCCATCCTCTTTTCCCTGCTGGCTTTTTTTTCCTCTGCTTTTATAAGGGCGCTTTTCGGGTTTTCCGTGCCCCGGACTCGGCGACTGAATAAACACTATGGGAGCTCCGGCTGACCAGTGAGCAGATTTCTTTTGTCGCGTCCCAGGCATCCGCGAGCCGCCATATATTTCTCACGGACCAGCTCGTAGAGCTCCTGCTGGAAGTATCCGTGCTCCAGCCAGCGCGCATCCTTGTGGCCACGCCGTATTTGCTTATCCCTCAGCCGGAACTCGCGCCACAGCATCTGGAGTTGCAGGCATTTTTTGGCAATGAAGTCGAGCGTTTTTCGGTCGAACGGGGTCTTCTTGTAGTTGGAAATCGCATGGAAAATGAAATTTGCATTGATTTGTTGCTGCAGAGCCAATTGATCCAGGGCCAGCCAGCTTCCCTCCTCCTGGAGTCCTGCCAGTATGGGATAACTGGCGCTGAGCTTTAATGCGACAATGTTTCTCATAATTTCGTATTGTTTAATTTATCGATGTTATATTTTATATGTCACGCTATGAATTCTTAATGACTTTTAGTTAATTCTCTTTGTTTTCCTGGACTAGACAGAGTTCTATTAGTTCTGTGTGCCAACTAAATGCGTTCGATTGGATTGGTCATGTTTTTATAGCAGTTAGAAATTTGATATTGATAAAAATACCCATGAAAAAGTGTCGAAATGTGTGTGTTTTTATTAATACGTTTATTTCTGATAATGGTCAATGAGGTAATAAGAGTGCAGGTGGGTTTTTAATGAAATATAGAGAGTGTTTCCCTATGATTTAGATTTAACTGCTTGATAATTTTTTTGCGTGGAGAAAATGCATTACTACTTAATTATTTATAAATATCCTATAGGGTAGAAGAACTTAAACTTATCATAAAATAAAAATAATCTTTATCAGCGAAACTGTCTGTCTGTCTATCTATACGAAAGAACCGATATCAGGGACTAAAATACCCAATTTCGCGAACACATTCGTATTTTTGACATGATAAGGTGTTTCTAAATTTGGCTGAAGTCTTAATCTTCTTTGAAAGTTATAAGGTTATTAAATAGTTGTTATCTTAATATTAAAAACAATTCAGTTATTAAATTCTGAAATAAAATAAACATTGTTTTTGCATTTATATTCAGAATTCATTCAAAAATAAATATATAAGCCTTCAAATTAGTACCTTAATGCATTGACAATTGTTTGAAACCATTATACCATTATACCATACCATTATTTAAATCTTCCTTCATTTTAAATAATTTTCAAACGATTTACATAAGTTATATCATGCATCGATTAAACATTCTTTATATTTATGTAAAATAATCTGCTAATTACTCGATTATATGTCGTATAAAACGTATATTTCTTTCGATCTAGATTGGGGAATTACCTTCATATGTGATTTCCGAAAAATACCCTACATTTAATGATAACCGGGAGAGGGTGAAGCCAAAAGCCAAAATGCCAGTTATCAAATCACGCTCACGGAGCTAGCTACTGATTCATGGGGGCCAGTCGAATGTGCGCAATGCGCTATCAGGGAATTAATGCCCGATAAGCTAGATAAGCCCCAATCCGCACACATGCTTCGGGTGTGCGAACACTACACACTCCCAGAACGCCTCCGAGGGCGATAGGGAAAGGGCCGGGCCGGGACGGGCCTGGCACATTAGCCTACTCAACAAAATCGTAAGACCAAAGTCAATGAACAGAGCCGTTAAGCGTTACACTAGGCAACAAAATTTTATCGCCCCCTTGTGGGAGGGAGGAGGAGGTAATGTGTTGGAAAGAGATGACAGTTGTTGGGTTCGGAAGGGGCAGAGCGTGACAATGTTTGTCGTCAAGTGTCGCCGGCTCATCACTGATAATTGCTACGATTATCCACGCCCATGCCATCATCATCAACAACATCATCGTCATCATCATCATCATCATCATCATCAACATCATATACGAAAGGGGGATAGACCCACTCGTAATCGAGCATAAGTGAGTTTTGGGGCAAAAACCATTCGAACTATTCGTTATGTTCATGATTTAATTACGAGTTCTAGTGCAATTGTCAAGTGATGTTCAATTCATGACCAAAGAACCGCTTTTTGAACCGTGATTTATTGGAAAATAATAGCAAATAGGCAGAATTTACTAGACTGATATAATTTAATATATATTTTTTTGTAGAAACTATTGCGGTTGATAGTTAACTTTTAAAGAGAGCTTAATTTTAAAGGCCAATTATCACTGCAACATACCTGACTGTATTTTTATAGGTAAGGTAAATAATAAAGCATTAAGCTAAATAACCAAACAAAAGATTGAAATCTTTTCAAATACATATTAATGAAATATTCCTGCTTATAAGTTTAAAAAATTCCACCACATTTAAATAAATATATCCATAATGCTTAAAAATGCATAGCAAATAGTTCAAACTTAAAGGCAATAAGCTGTTTATAATATTTAGTTGTAGAATATACTATTTTTTTCAGATTTTGTTTATTTTTTCACTTTTATGTGTACCATTATCACAGTTTATTAATGATTAAAATCATGTTAGCTGCCAATTATTATTATTACTGCTCAATACTGCTCATTTAATTTAATTCCTTTTGTTGAAATGTAGTATTTCACTGTTTTACCATTAATTTTTATGTTCAGTTATTAAACTACGCTTAGCTTTAAGAACATTCATGTGCACACATATTTATAAACTTTAAATGCGATAAAAATAGCTGTGTATGCATTTAAATTCATGCCATTTAAAAGCACAAACAGAAAAGCCAATAAAGCGAGAGTCAATTAAGAGTCTGGGGGAAAATTGAAAAAAAGTTATGGCCAAGTTTGATTTATAATAATGACTTTAGTCGAAATTGAATGGTTAGTGCATTTAAATTGGTTTATACATTCATATTAAGACAATTTCGATAACATTATTAAATCGGTTGCTTTTTGGGGGTTAAAGAATACAAACCATTATTCAATGGGCCCCGAGGCAAAATTTAATTTCACTTTTAAACTTATTTTTACCTAAAGAGATGGTTAGGAAAAAGTTGTATTCATTTGTAATGAATATGTACATCAAGATAACATTTTAATTATCTATTTAATTAACTTTTCAAAAGCCTTTTGTTGCTTCTTCTTTTGCTTTAGCAATTATCAAGTATTAATTTAATATATATACTGATATGGAAACCTTTGCGAAACCCACAATACAACTATAAGGCCTTCCCACAAAAAACCCCACATTAGACACGCTTCATTCCTTCGCACATTTCATTGGTCAATTGACTGTGAAAACCTGTAAAAACAAAAACTCAAGCACGGGTGGGGGAAAGCACAACATCCAAGGACCAACAAGCCAACAAGCCACGGAAAATTACTAATGCATTTCTAAAGAGTTTTTCATCAACTAGAGTCCCCAGCAGCAGCTGCTAACTGGATGTTACCTGTAACCTGACTCTCGCTGCCATTCTTTAAAGCAAATATCATTAGCATTATGATGCCACCACTTACCCTGTCGTCCCCACGTTCCCTCGTCCTTCGTCCCGTTCCCGTTGGCATGTTCTTCTCCTGGCAGCTGGGTCCCCGAGCTGCAGCCCCGCTTCGGTGGCTATCATCAGCCCGTTCCATATGCACATCCACACAAACAAGCTCTGAGAGGCCACTCCTTCGCACAACCAGCGGACATATCACCCAAAGTGGTGTATGGAAAAAAGCATAAAGGACCTCCGGACTCGACGGTGAAGTACCCATGATATATGAGTTAGGGATAAAGGAAATACCTTTCTTAAGGAAGAAGACATTTATATTCCAACTAACCGTGATTAAAATGAAGATATTTTAAAGTGTACCAATAATAGGTACGTTTTATAGTATTTATAATAAAAAATTATTGAGAAAAAATACTACAAAAACTTAATACATAGAAATCTTCCTAACTTGTTAACATACTGTTCATAAACCATATTATAAGTGTCTTTAAAAGTATTTCTTTTTCCTTTGACATGAATAAGATATACCCATTTAAAAAGAGTACAGGGCATTGAATTAATTTATAAATATTACGAAACTTGCCAACATGAAAGAGTTCAGGGATCAATTTGGTCAATATAATATTAGCATTTGACCGCTTAGCTCTTTAGAGTGATTCGCTAATGTTATATAAAAGGAGCTTATATACGAAAACTGAGTTTAAATTTAGTAAGAGCCAAGGTTTCCTATTACACATTAGACAAATTATTATTATTACCATTTTATTTTAGCAAAGCACTAGGATCCTTAGATGATCTTGGCGATTAATGATACCCGAAGACACCATGGAAAAAAGAAATACTGTAGGTCCTTTGGTGGTGGTACTCCCCGCACCTTGGCAGTATAAACAACAACGCCTAAGGGTGGGGTGGGGAACGCACTGTGAGTGAGAAAAATCATGTGCGCAAACATAAGGCAGATTGCAAAATCTATTGCCTACTTGTTGGCGCACTCTAGGCTCGGTGAGTGTGTATGGGTGCGTGGGAGAGATGTGTTCCTGAGTCAGTTGCAGGTTGTGTAAGTGTTGCAATCAGGTTTTTCCTGGCGCAACTTTTTGCCATTCCATATTACTTGAAAAGCAGGCGAGGCGAGCGATAAATATATACAGCATATTTCCATTTTCCGGATTGCATAAGCTAAGGGCAAAGCAAAAGGAAAAGCCACCTGGCCGTGTTTCAGCACTATGGCGGCGGTGTTAGTGGTTCTTCGGGCTTACTTATCCAGGCCATGCATTATTTTATTCAATTTTCGTCAATTTGTTGCCTGGATGCAGCTCTCGATGGAGCAGCCAGCCATTCAATCAGCAGAATTTTCCACCATCTCCCTGGCTGGCGATGCCCCTTTAGAATGCATTTAGGCCCAACACTGTTTACTTATTCGAGCTCAAAGCTACTCTGTCGGCAAAAATTTGTTATGAAATTCCAAACTCACTGCTATTATCCTTCCCAGCTCTGTGTAAAGTGCCCTGCTTGTATGACAAGTTGTTAGAGTTGTTATTGATGTTGTAGCCGATGTTATTGCTGTTATCAGGCATAGTCTGTCGTCGGCCTCCTCTTGAACTCTGCCTTAAGCCATTGATTGCATTCAGGCGGAGCATCGTTGATTTTTGACCTCTTCTGTCAAACCAGCTGCAGCAGCAGAACCAAAGTTTTTAAGTCTTTTCAAAAATGTTTCAACTCCACTTCAACTCGTCTTCTTCTCCAGGCCTTTATGCTTTATTTTGCGTGTAGATGAAGACCTAAGCTGAATGGATAGGCATTTTTGGTAGGCAGAAAAGGCTGCAAAAGATTGCTTTGTCTGCGGCAAAACCGAAAGTCAAAAATACAAATATCCTGCTGAATGTATCAGTTATTAGGTAAAGTAAGTGCCTCTGCCTTATGATGTGGAATAATATTGCTATATTCACTAAAAATGATGGTAAAGTGACTTTAAAATTAAAAAAGTTCTCTATCAATATCGCATATTTTCTTCCGTTTAAATAGTTTTACATTTTTATACATCCTTTTTCCGTACTCCTAATTTTTTTCAGGATTTTTTCCCCTATCTC